ACCGTCGAACAGAAACGAGGGGCCATACGATGCAACAACATAGGCCGTACTAACGCATGAAAGTGGCTCGATACAGTTTTTCAGGGTCAATATCTATGAAGTTTTTTTTGAGCATAGACTACGACACCATAAACAAACATTTGGAAAAATTGCCACCACAGTTGTATTAGATAAAGATGAAAATTTGTTATGATCAGGGTTGCAATAACATCGGAGTTATCATAGCAACCACATGATGCCATTACCTATTATACTTGCAGCAACATTTCTCACTGGGAACTGTTCTTCCAAAATCGTTCACGGAAGCATTTTCCTCCAATAGTCGCCTCGATGTTCGTGAAGTTAAAACGGAATCTGTAAGAGCGTTGCGGAGATATTTTGGGATAAAGTTTCTATCGTTAGAAATGCTGTAAAAAAGGAAAATCTTGATGTTTGGCCGCTATCTGTAGAAAACGAAGTGCTTTTGACATGCAATTTCTCCTCATAGTAGTTTCAATCTTTTTAAAAAAGTGGGTAAAAGATCATGGAGATAGCTCTGGCCAAAAAAGGATTTGAGAATTAATATGTATCATGGCGCTCTTGTTAGCGGTTTTGTATACATTTCGGTCTACTTTAACAAATTAGTGAAAAATCTTTAAACTACTCGATAGATTTTTTTGTTAAAAAAATACGATTTTTAGCGTAATTCAAACTGAGAATTAGTCAGCCACTTCTTCACTTTCAGGCCCATTGCTGATGCTATCTGCCATACACTGTTCTACGAGTGGAGATGATTCTAGAAAGTTAGGCGGAAGTTTATTCTAATCAATTCACGACTGGAAATAGCCCATTGCAGTACAGTACCCAACAGTAAAAAAAAACAGCACATGATACCCTTCGCTTATAACCAGAAACTCATTACGTGCTAGGCAACCACTGTCTCGTGTGAATGTAACAGTACTGGATTATTACGCCAACTTCAGGTTAAAATAGAAAATATTTATCTCTTCAAAATAATAATTTAAAAAAACACGGAAACGTCTTAAAAACTGGCTTTGCCCAAATTTTCTCTCGCTGCCCAAAAAATCTGAGTTGCCCAAAATTTGGGGGGGCTGCAGCCCCCCTCGCCCCCCCGGCCCGTACGCCTATGAGTGTCCAGTTGTTTCTGGCCGAGGCTGCCTGCTTTCAACAGAGATTCTCATCTATCTGTGTGGTTGCCACGTCCTTAGTAACCATGTTCTTTAATCTCTCAAGAACTGTTTCTGCTTGTTGATTGACGTTGAAGATGTCAGTTTGCCTGATGCAGCAACAAGCCACAACAACACTGCGGCACGGTCATCTTTAGTTATATCTATTGATCGAGATATACTTCGTTAAAATTAGCAATTTCACGGAATGATACTTGCCCTCAGCCACAATTAGGTCATTCACACCCGACACACGCAAGGAAAGGTCGTGGTCACACTTTGCTCCAACAAGTATCTGCTGACTCATTTTAAACGTTGTCACTGAGAACAGTATTTGCTTTTTAAACATTGACCCGTCTTAACAAAAAATACACAGTTCCCATTCGATAGAAGAGGTTTTGCTGCGGAGAGCTGAACTTGCAGCCATTTCTGGCAGTGGATGGGTATCCTTCGACGAATCAAGCGATTTCCTTAATCTACTTAATTATATCTTACCCTTATCAGTCTACTTTGCATAGCAGCTCTTGTGCCAGCTTAATTAAATCCTCAGCTTTGTTTTGTTTCGATTGCCTCCATATCGCGTCTGTTACATCTGTATTGTTTGTGTCTCCTAATTTTCTTTGTTCTTCAGAGGACTCTTTCAGTAACGCAGGCCTTGCTGTATTGCGTTAAAGAAGATATCTTTTTTCGTTTCCTGCCATATAATGCACTTACTGAAGGAGAGTGTAAGGGCAGATCTCTTCCAACTTAGCCGCTTCTCCAACATTAAAAATCATGTAATCCACGAAAACAATCTTTCCATGCAACTCTCCATAATAAAAGCAACTCGAATGAGCAGAATGGTTTTTGGAATGAAACGTAGAGCCTGACTTTCGTTTTCTAGCCAGGGCCAACGCTTCATGCAATTATATGGGTTTGTTTGGTTTTTTTTGGCCCAGCAAAAAGGGTTTTTAAAAACAAGTTATCCATCCATCAAAAATCACAATGCTGGAGAAGTGACTTGCTTAAAGCTTTACTGTTAAAAAGTTCTTAAAAGATCGACTACATAAAATCTTTAAATGGAGGAAAACGAAAAATAAAATTCAGCGGATACCTTTCTGTTGAAACAAACATATGACACGCTGCACTGACTTTCGTTTCCTAGGCAAAGTCAAAGCTTCAAGCATTAAAATGGGTTTACTTATTTGATAATCTTCGTAGCAAAAGAACATTTTTTACAAGTTTTCCATCCATTAACGTTGGGGTAGTGATTTGTTTTAAGCTATACATTGGTAAGAAGATGGACGATATAAAATCGTTGAATGAGGGAAACACAACGCAGGATAAAACTTGGCGCAACCTTTTTGCTGCCAGATCTATTTTTGTTTTAATGCTCGCACCAGATGTCACTAGTCCTGATGAAGACCTTTTGTACTAACTGAAATATATTCCTTATTAAAAATACCCTTGGCATAGTTCATCCTTAATCAAAACTGGTTTTATTTAAAAGAAAATGTTTCCTTCAGATAGTTATACGACGAACACACTCGTCAACTTCTTTCACTAGCGACTCTGAATTTCCAAATAACTTTTTTTCAGGCTTCAACCGTCTATTAGTTTATTTCATAACAAAAAAAAAATTACAGTTAGCTAATTTGGGGCAATAATTTGAGTCAAATGTGGTTTTGAAAAGCGGGGAAAATTTTAGCCTCGTTTCCATGTCCAGAAATAAGCTCATTTTTTTCGAGGTCAGATTTTGTGGTTAAAAACTCAAAATCAAGCATGGTAAACAAATTTTTCGTGTTCAGCACGTAATTTTCATCTAGAAAAAAGTAATTAACAACTTTTCCTCGAGTTTGCCGACAGAAGTTTTATTAGCGGCTTTTTACCAAAAGTTGTCCCAGTCTATATCTCATATAACCTTTAGTGTAGTCTTTTTGGTTTGTTTTGTATGGCAGTTAACCAGGGACCAAAATCGAGATTTTTCATTTAACCCAATTTAAGGCTGTTTGTCTTACAAAATCGTTTGGGAGCTTATGAAACCTAGAGCTGATATGAAGGGCTTGGGTTTAACGTTTCAAGTAGTTTTGGATAGAGTTTAGAAAAAACAGGCATTTGTCTAGTTCTAAGGGATTTATTTTTCCAAGCGTCTGTTCAGTGGTTTAAAGAGTTACCTTACAATAATAGTTAAAATTTTGATTTTGGAAAAGGGGATGAATTTTCGTATACAGTTGTATAGACTACACTACACCTTTTGAGCCCTCTCACAGGAGAAGACCCACAGGGAGACACACCACATAAATCTTTTTCCAGCCAAGTCCAGGAATGGATTGACCCTTGATAAGCATTTCTCAGAGGATGACATCGTGCACACTGTCCAAGACTGAGCTAGTTTGAGATGCCCTGTAGTTGCCCTGGAGTAACTGCAGAATACCCTGCCACTTTGACGCTGTATCCCTGAACGAGCTGGATACGTGGATATGCAGTTACCGCTTTTATCCACTTCTCCACCTTCAGTGGCTTTAAGAATGACAAATAGACATGCTATAAGCTTTATATGCTGTCTTAAGTGTATATCGAAGTGAATACATGGATGTGCGGATAAACGGATATGCGTATAGACTAGAATGAGGACCTATTTTAGGTTATTGGAATATGAAATATTTAGATGAAAAATTATAGAGATTCAGAATTGTTGGATAAGAGATCAAGCGTCAAAGTAGCTGAACAAGAGCATCGATGACTGATGAGAGAGACTACAGAGCTAGCTAGAGAAAAAAACTCAGCATTGCCAAGTGGTTAGAGCACTGGACTTTTAATGAGAAGGACCAAAGTTCAAGTCTCCCCCCCACTACCCACCCTACCACTAGCTGGATTTGTTCTTGGTAGTCCAGAGTTCCAATTCTCAGCCATGCTTGTAAACAGCCAACTAGTTTGCCTCCTACCAGCTGGGATTCTTACCCATGTTATGTTCCATTAATTGAATTCTTTATTTCATTATCCCTGAAAAACCCCATAAGGGGAGAAGATATTTAATTTAATTCAATTAACTCGTGACAAATAAGATTACAAGTTTGCATTTTCTGAGTCAAGTACTGATAACATTTAGCGTCATAGATAGTCTTGTTTGTATGAAGGAAAGCCTTTCCTCTCCAAGGTCATCAAAGTACTTGGCATTTTTAATTAAGTTCAGGGATATGTAGACCAAAAATTAAAGATAGGCAGAGCTCCCCTAATGGCGCATCTAGAATAGGGCTACAGTAATGCTCATTAAAGGCAGTTACATTAAATGAAAGTTAATATGTAACTGCAGTTGTTATGTGGTGTTAGAATGAAAAGTTTGGCTGGGTAAATGTTAGACATAAGCTGTTACCACTGGCGTTGAGTTTTATGCAACTCAACCTCAAACTGTACAAGATTACAGTCAGTTTTGGGTAAGTGTTATCTTACCCATCCAAAGCTGCTGATTAGCGTAGACTTCTTTGGTTCTTTTGCATGTGGTAAATAGTATACAGCTATAGATATCAAAAAACATTGTCAGGAGGAAAATAAAAAGCCTTTAAGCCAAGACTGCCAGGTAGTATGGGATTTTTATAAGTGAAGGGCTCAGTGCAATTTTTGCTCCTAAAAGACGGATTGGAAACTACCCACATTACCTTGGGATCTTGGTTTGAAGAATTTTGGCTTTTCTTCCAGCAATGTTATTTGAAATAGCTGTATAACAAACTAGAATACTAGTCTTGAACACCTTCAGGAGGACATTACAGATGTTTACCCTGCCTGCAGAGCTTTCCTTTTTCTTGTTCCATTTCGGCATACTCGAAAAATATGCTGCATGAATAGAGTAAGATCGTCATGGAGCTCAGGCCTAACAGCCCTGTGCCTGGTACAGTTGTCTTAGATCTCACCATTGAGTTATCAATAAACAGATGCTTGCACTGAAAAAAACTGTTTCACAAGAGAAAACAAGGTTGACTTTTCCAAAACTTCAGGCTGAGGCAACTGAAGGCTTCACGCATTTCGGGCAGAGCTCCCTTTTCTCCTCTTAGATTATGAAGAAGGCAAAAGGAAGCTTACTGCTCACAGGGTGCAGGATTTTCAATATCATAAACAACCTAAATCACTGACTGCCTGCAAACCAAACATGCTGAGACCATAGTGTTCAACAGTCAATTCCCTGTTTATGGCTAGTACTGTAGGTCACCTTAGTGTAGATTATACTTGTTGCAATTCAAGCTGAGTAGTTCTGTTTTGTAAACTCTAGTATGATTTGTCTGCCTCACAATTCTCACCTGATGGAAGAGTATTTCAAGTAGAGTATGCTGTCAAGGCTGTTGAAAACAGTGGGTAAGTTGTAAGTCAGTAGTTTTTTCTTAATAGGGGATAAGCATAAATTTCAGTTCATTTTAGATTGTAACAGTTCTGACACCCTCTGCTATGAGTGGGTCTGACGAAACAGCATGCAAAGAAAGTCAGGTCTGATAGCTTTGGGCTAGTTGATTTTGCAATTGGGCTACTGAATTCTGTTCTTAACTTGCTCGACAGGCAAAAGGTACTTTAAGACTGATTTAATAAATATTTTCTAATTAATTCCTTTTGATCAAAGGTTGTTTTCAAGCTGAACAGATGAAGTGAAATTAGTACAGTGCTGTTATTATTACAATGAATATTTTTAAAGCTGATGTAACCAAGTAACTAATGGTGCAATTAACAAATAAATAAACACCAACATGGTGAGCAGGATAAAAAATTTTTTTTTGACTAGTTAAAATAACTCTCAGGTTAGTACAGGTTACATGTAGCTATAGCTTCCCCCAAAGGGCGAGCTGTAATACTGACTTTCTTTGCACCTTAGAAACCATGATTTTAGGAAGCAGGTTAGTAATCAGGTTTATGTCATGTTGCCATGACACTATATGCTAAGATCGGTGCTGTTTCCCTTTAATTTGATTCCCCTATCTGTTCCATTTTACACAGGACAATTGTTGGGATAAGAGGAAAGGATGGAGTGGTGTTTGGCGTGGAAAAGCTTGTTCTCTCAAAACTGTATGAGTATGGTGCTAACAAAAGAATCATGCACATAGACAATCACATTGGCATGGTAAGGTGTTGAAGTAATGATTTTCAAAAAAAAAATGTTGTTTAACTGCTTTCTTGTTACTGAGCAGATGTACATTGTACCCAGAAAATAAGCAATAGTAGTGCCGCTGTCCCCAATAGCTACGAATCTCTCAAAGTAAAGGCTTCAAAAATGGATAGACTTCTTCTTCTTTCTTTTACAAGAAAATGTATGAAAATGAAGAAAATGATCGTTGCTGTGAACGCAGTTTATGCAATTGCGTAAAGAAGCCTGAAAAAAATTCAGGACTTCAACGGGGTTTGAACCCGTGACCTCGCGATTACCGGTGCGATGCTCTACCAACTGAGCTATGAAGCCACTGACTTTGGGGGCAGGTCAATTGTGGTATGCTGGTTTTCGCCAGGCAGCCAAAAAAGTGTCTGTAATAACAAGATGGCCATATTAATGAAGTGGCTGTAAGGCGGGGTTCCACTGTAGTACCTTTCTGTTAAGAACACGATGATAGTGCAGTGCAACCCACACATGAAGTGCCCCCGAGTAGAGCCGCATATCTAAGAAAATTTGGTTACCTATCCATCCAAGAGATTTAGTGGTCGCGTGACCATCTGTATGTCTGTCCTCCCATCCGACTGCTTCACAGGGAAACCAATGTGACATCTCACACTTTTTAGCTAGACTCGGAGTCTGCAACCTGATATCACTCATCCATGTTGTGGTCAATTGACAGCTGTCAAAATAGGATATCCACTGATCAGTATCACATGACCATATTGCAGGCTCAGGTGTCGACCCAATTGAGGTCAAGTTTTTTCTGAAGTTATCCACTGACAAGTTACTAGTTTCTAACTGATCGCAGGCTTAACTCCAAGTGGATTTCTTTGCAATGGGTACAAGTTTATAGTTTGAAGGGTAGAAATTTATTATTGGGAGCTCTGCCTTAGCTCTAGTTGATACCTTGAAGAAACCTTAATAATTCTAGACTGCAAGTGAATATCCTTCTTTACTCGGAGTCACATGCTGTGCTGCTTGCCCCTCACCCATGCTCTTGATCTACTTTGTCGTAAACAAAAAAGGAAGAGACTGCTCACAGTCTAAAATGGCTCCAGTGTTTAGAACTACATTTACATGTTTATTGCTATTCAATGTACTATTAGTACTAATTTGTTACACCCTTATCTGACCTTCTTTTAGGCAGTAGCAGGACTTATAGCTGATGCAAGACAGGTACATTATTAATAATTATATAAATACACACAAGTTACTCTCACTAAATGAAAAGACTTGTTATTGTTAACTTGATAGGGCATTTACACTTTCTTGTCATTTTTGTAGACTCACTGTTTATAATGTCCCTTTTCATCTTTTTGTTTCCAAGTGGCAATCTGCAGTACATGCATCTGCTTTTGTTTTGCATCTTTGCGATACAAGACAAGTCAGTTTTCACAAGTGAAAATTGTGCCTTATTAATAATCAACTTTATTGTTAAATAATTACATAATAATCGAATTCCTCTGTGTAAGAACTTCAATACCAAAAAGTAGTAATTTAACTGGAAAGTGCTGCAAAGAACAAAAGGACAACATTGTCTGGGGGCCATGGGGAGATGGGGGCTGCTTTTTTCCTTGGGGAGGGGGAAACTGTTATTGCTAGTTTTGAAATAGTTGGGTTTTTGCATATGTAATTTCTGGGAACTGAGACACAAACTGAGGCAGAAATGATTCTGTAGGAAAGGAGAAACCAAATTGAGTGCTTGTGTAATGCTACTTTGCAGTATACTTTCCACAAAAATAACATTTTCCAGTATAGTGATGTTGTGATGTTCTTGCATGGAGGCCTTCAATTATTGTGTGGTGGCTCATTGCATATTAATTTTAAACTTTATTTATGTAAAGATTGTAAGTGTGGCGAGAGATGAAGCAGCCAACTACAGATCAACATATGGATCTCCAATCCCCCTGAAAGTAAGTTTTCAAAGTATTTACTTTAGAATTAAGGACTCAAAATCTCTGAATCAAATGCAGTCAAACTGGGATAATTTTACTTTAGATTGTGCATCTGTATGTAAAGGGCAAATAAAACAAATCTGGTTTCACAAATGTTCAGAATTTGTCACTAATCTGGAAGATCTCCTTCAGTGTAAGCATAGCCTTAAATACCTTTAGCAGGGATACGACAAGAAAAGCCTCTTTCTTTAATTTCTCACTTACAACTTTGACTTCAATGGTCAGGGAGCAACCAAAACTGGGGACCTGTGAAATACCTGAATGGGCTAGTATTTACTATAGGCACTGTCAAGTTACCTGGCATTGATGCAAAGTTTGTATCTCTACATGCGCCTAGCCTGTGAAAACAGCCGTTTCTCCTCGCTCCTTGCTGCTAGGGACCATTCACCATTAGGAACGTCTACACCTTAGTGACAGAAATTCCATACTGATGACGTAAAATTTGTCTGGAGTCTGGTCAGGAGCTCTGAGTGGTTGATGTTGTATATTGTTTTAGCTATTGTTTATTAATGACAGGTAAAAGATAAAAGGCCACAAAGCTCAAATGTAAATGTGACAAATCTACTACCAAACAGTAAATATTCATGGAATATATGCGTCTTTAGAAGAAGTATTTGAGTTTGCTGGAGCTCCTTTGCAAAAGGACACAAAACTTTACCATAATCAGGTCTACAGGAGAAACAAAATTGAACGAATTTACTTTTGGAACCCCATGACTATCAGATTAATTAGTTATGTAAACATTGATTTACGTCATCAGTATTGAATTTCTGCTGCTGAGGCGTAGACGTCTCTCCTGGAAAAATGTTTCTAGTGGTGAGAAGTGAGGCAAGATGGCTGTTTTCGCAGGCTAAAATGTACCAAAATGTTAATTCTCAACGAGATTGGAACTCAAACTCTGCAGACCTTTGGCCCCTTTAAGGCTGTGGGAGACACCTATTTATGACTAAATTCATAAAGCAAAATCTTGCTTGTGCTGCATCTTTTAAAAGGCTTGTATCTTGGCTGTTTTAGTGGCGATTTAGATAAACTTTTACAGAGACATTGTGTAATGATGGAAGTTTAGGAGGGTTGTTTTTTATTTGGTAGATACCGCTTTTTGGCAATGCTTTAAGCCACAGTTGTACCAAATTGGGAAATCATGATTTTGTGTCTAAGTGTGAGGAAAGAATAAAAGACTGCATTCTGTGATTTTATTAATAAATGATCGATCAAAACCTCTAGTGTGTTATGTATAGAGCAGATTTTACAATTTTAAGTTTGCCAGCAAGATAATATAATTGTTTAAAATGAGCAAAATCAATCTGGGGTCCCTGAAATGAAAGCCTTATATCTTTTTACAAAAGTGCTCTTTTAGAATTCCGCTCTGCAGTGCCAGCTCATGAAGTTTTGTATCTGCGCTGAATTCTTGGACACAAAATTGTCAGAAGGTCAAATTTTGAGACTCCCAAAAGTGTCCCAACCAAAGCACAGTTCCAAGCAGGATATGTATTATATAGTTATTATGGTTAATTACATTCCACCATTTAATTTTGTTTATAAGCTGCAATGTTTTCAAGGATATTTCAGGCAAAAAATAAACAAACATAGAGTTTTGGTGTTAAATTTGGTTGAAACTTCTAAAGAGTACCTTATTTTTATTGATTTAAAAATCCCTGAAACCGGGTTTGCTACCATTCAGAGACTGTTTGTTACTTTTGAATAAACATTTTGTTCGCAGTCTTTGTGCCACACGTGTATGTGAACACTGAGAATTATGCGCTCATCTTTCATCTACAAGTAGTTATGAATATCTTGTAAACATGTCGATATCAGTCATTGTATGTACTTCGTGCAAAAACTTTAAACAAGTACATAACAGTGAGCCCAAGGTGTCCCACGCGACCTTAAATAATAACTTATTTTGTTTTCATCATGCAATTTTATATTGTTCTTCACAGTATCTTGTCGATAGAGTTTCTGGTTATATTCATGCTCACACATTGTACAGTGCCGTCAGACCATTTGGTTGTAGGTGAGTCTTGGGTCTAAAAAGTTCAGCATTAAAGTTCTGCTTGTACATGTAATGTCAAAATGTAATCAATAGTAATTATAACAGAAGTCTTGAGAAACTAGGATCTGATCAGTGAAGATGAACTCTATATTTGCTTAGTTACCGAGATCTCACCCATTCCTGTTTCTTTGTGTAACTCTGGGTTTGACTTTTGTAGTGTGCTGTTGAGTTCCCATGGCCCAGATGGTCCCGAATTACACATGATAGATCCTTCAGGAGTGTCATGGGTGAGAATAATAATTATGTTCACATTAAGTTTAGTTTGTGCTGTACATAATAATTATGTAGTCTGTAATCTATGGTAAACTCATTGTTAAAAGAATCTGTTACAGTGATTTTTATTACGGTTAATTCTCGTTCAAGCCCTCCCCTCTCTAATAACCTGCCACCGCTTTCAGGGAAAGAACATTATTAAGAACCTCCTCCCCGCTTTTTCCTTAAAATTTATGATAACTTTAAATTTAAATTAATTAATCATGACTGTAACACTTCACGTGGACTGATCCGGGATGTTAATTCACTTGCTGGAAGTTCAGCATGACCTCCAACCTCATATGCCTTAGTTTTTTCACTTTGCATCCTTGACTAGTTCTTTAGGGAGAATTATTGATACCATAATCTTAACTAAATCAAATAAGCCCCCTTTCTATTAAGCCCCATCAAACATGCTTGAAATAAATAAGTCCCAAGAAGGCTTATGTAAGAAATTTAGTTCGTTCACTTGCCTTTTAAAAAAATGTCCAGATTTTTGTATGTAATGTTAAATTCTTTCCAGTAGCATTACCCAGGACATTTTCCTCAGCTCTGTGTAAAAATTTATTCTTTTTGACGAATATCAATGTCTACATGTAAAAGTCTGATTTATTAGCAAAGTAGAGGAAACAAATTTTGAAGAAGCCGTTTCGTTTTTGAAATAATTGATGTCAAAAATAGAATGCTGCAACAAAGCTACATTGTACGTAATTTCTTGAGTTGTAGGAATGGTACTGGCTTGACACTTGGCCTTTTTTTTCTGTAGAGCAAAGTGAATATCACAGAGAAAATATCTAGTCAATGTTTGAATGCTCTCAGGATTTCAATCACCACAAATCCTCTATTTATTGCAAGGCCATTTGAGGGGGGGGCTTAATAGAGACGGGAGGCTTATTTGAAAGGGGAGGGCACTTATTAATTTAGAGAAGATGCTGGTATCTACCAGGTATTCTTCATAAAGAACTAGAATACAAAGTGGAGAAGCTCAAGAACAAGAAGGTTGGAGGTCATGCAGCTGAGGATCAGAATCAAATCTGAACTTCCAGTTGGTAAATAACCATCCTGGATCAGTCCACACAAAGTTTTACAGTTGTGATTGATTAATACAGTCTCTCACTTATTAGTGAAGAATAATTAGGGGAGGAAAGGGGGAGCTTAATAGAGAGGTGGGGGGGGGGGGCTTATTAGAGGGGGAGGGCTTATCTGAGAGGGGGGGGGGCTTAATATAGGATTTACGGTATACTTCTTTGAAGGCGTTATTTCTCAGTGAGAATCTTGTCTCATAACTTATACTAAGGAGTCTACTAAGGATATTTTTTGTGGTTTAACTTATTCTTGTTGTTTTCTTTTTTTATGCAGGGGTACCATGGTTGTGCTATAGGGAAGGCAAAGCAAGCTGCAAAAACAGAAATAGAAAAGTTAAAGGTACTATTAGATGGCGATAATTAACCTGTTTAATAACTAGTTCACCATGATACAAAATCTATAACAAATTCAAACTTAAAGTTTATATTCTTTGTTATCACACTTCTTAGCATAATTTTCTTGCTATTGTTGTTTTCCTACACAGATGAAAGATATGACATGTCAAGAACTTGTTAAAGAAGTTGCTAAAATGTAGGTTTTGAGGTTTTGAATCAGCTATACAATAGTCTCCAATGCAGGTTCATTGGCTCGACACCCAATCCTCCTCAACGAATGTCTGCTGAAATGAGCAGTTAAAAACATAGACCAATTACCGAAAACTTGCAGATCTGGGAAGTGTACTTAGGACCGTGCAAAATTTAGCACCGGGACTCCAGAAAAGGTCAGAAAAGTCAGAAAAGATCTCCTAAAAGGAAACGTCCTTCATTTCTTAGAACAAACTCTTCAATCAAATTAATTATTTGATGAGAATAACACGCCTGTGTTAGAGACTACCCCCAAAATCTCATAGAAAAAATTACCTCTGAGGTTATTAAAATAATTATACTGAACAGAAGTTGGCTTTACTAAAAAATGGATTTTTGTCACAACATAACACCCTGCCATTGCCTAATCTTACGAACATTTCATTGAGAAAGTGGCATCTACTTTACTAAGAGAAATATACAAAGGGCCTCTGTTTATATTAAAAATTAAAAGAGAAAAATTTAAACCCAAAAGGTCACGTATCACACTATTTGAGCTTGTGAGTCGCGTTTGGCCTGTCTACACGTGATTTTTTTTTCTTAGGATTGGTGTTTTATTAAACAATCAGTGACTTAGATAAATTGCACATGATCTCAGGGAAAGGAAGTTAACTGCTTGTTATTGCAGACTTTCATGGGGAAGGAATGTGTGAAGAAGCCCCTGCATGGGAGCTATCGCAACAAGCTCTTTTTCAGTTTTATGGTTAGTCACTTGTATGTGGCTAACAAGGAAATCTTGTTACAATAGAGAGATTAAGATTCACATTTATGCCAAGTGGCAATGACAATGTGACCAATTTTTTCCCTTATTTCCCTTCGTTTACTGGTTATTGCTTCCACACAAAAATAAGTTGTTTTATGCCAGTTTTATCCATAAGAATGGTTCTGGACAGTTTTTATCTGCTTATTTTCTATTCTGAGAATTTCTCAACTTGAATTGATTCACGTTTACGTAAACGTGAATCTTAATCTCTCTAATAAGTAGTGCACCAAGAGACCCAAGCTGTCTCCATTCATAAATAAATAACTACCGATCTAGAGGAAGCACTTCCACATGGTGGTTCTTCATCTATCATTCCTGGTGGAATTGGAATTTGGAAATGCTGGTTTTCGAGGAGAGGAGGGAGATCCAGAGATCCAACAACAAACTTGGCCCACATGATGTTGATGCTAGGATTTGAAACCTAGGTCACTTTGGTGGAAGGCGAATGATCTCACCACTGTGCAATCCCTTACTCCCCAATCCCGTTCATTTTTTCAGTCTTGGAAGAAAAAGAGCTTTGGTTTAACCTGGACTAGCTGCCTTAAGTTATTCCACCAAAACTATTAAAGCTGCCAGAGCACCCATCCTGCTCCTCATATAAGTTTACTATATACTTGTTCTGCCTGGCAGACCAGCTTAGCTTAGGATTTTTTTTAACAATATTGCTCGTTGTGGTCTGCAGAATTTATGTTGTACATGATGAAGTTAAGGACAAAAACTTTGAA